GATGAAAGGAAAGGCCAAGGAAGGTATTGGGACTTCCAACTCCAACAAAAGGTAAGATACATTACTTTGTTTTGTTTGTTTGTTTGTTTGTTTGTTTGTTTGTTTGTTTGTTTGTACATCACTTCATTGTTTTGTCCTCCCATCAGACCGTTGTGGAAAGGGACTAAAGACTGGGATTCAGACGAGGAGTCTCTGGCCATGTCTTATGAAGAAAAGCACCAGCTGAGCCTCGACATCAACCGCTTACCCAGCCTGAAGCTGGGACGCGTGGTTGAGATCATCAGGACTCGAGAACCCGCCACGTGCGGCACCAACCTGGACGAGATCGTGATCGACTTCGAGGTTCTGAAGCCATCCACTCTGTGGGAGCTTCAGGGCTACGTCAGGTCGTGCCTTTTCAAGAGATTCAAGAAATATCAAAGTAAGTTCAAATACTTGTGTTGTCTCGAGACGTTGGAACGTCTTCATCATATCTTCATCTTCTCCGTCTCTATCCTCCACTTTATCCAGAGAAAAACAGCCAAATCGCCTTTCAATATTCCAGCAGCAGTTCTTCTGATTCCTCCTCCAGTTCCTCCTCTGAGTCCAACACAAAAGAAGAAAAGGACTACTGATAACCTTGTTGTATTTATTCTTGTTCTGTTACCCAAAATAGTTTTATTTTTTTCCTATTTTTCTACTTGTAAATGTTCACTGTATTAARAAATAAACTTTATTGATTTATAATTAACGGAGACTTTTTGGTTTTACTTAATAGATCCTAAAATCCATGTTTGTTTTATGTTACGTTGGCTGGAAAATATTAATTTATCTTATTACTTTTGGAATTTTGGGATTGTTTTATGTTTATATGATTGCAGACACAGGTTTGATTATTTACAATCATTTTATTTAAAATGGTAAAGTAACTTTATGTTGGACGGCCGTCAGTAAAGGGTTATTTTAATAAACACCATAATGTGCAAAATGACTAAAAGAGATATAGGAAATAAAATTTCCTGAATGACCTTTGGTAAAGCTCTCATATAAGAGGAGGAAAAGAAAAGTGCCCTGCCCTAAACCATTAAGTATGTTTCCAGCAGGCCTGCCAGCAGCTCAGCAGGACGTGGCGCGAGGCCAGCGCTGCCCACTTCTAACAGCTGGTGCCTTCAGCAGCTTCTGCTCTATTTGATGTCAGCGTGCACGCACACAGACCAGCTTTTCTTAGAAAGGCTTTATGAGAAACACTGCAGACTGAGGAAAAATAAATAAATATGCACTTCAGCAATCAGACAGGAGGTGGCAATAAAGACCCACATTGGAGAGCCCTATTTTTATTTGAAATAAACATCAATTTGAATATGAATTGTTTTAATATAATACCTATACTTTTGTCTGTGTATTCCGCTTCAGTTAGAGTAAATGTGTGGCTGTTTCACAGCGTTCACACTGTTGAGATCATTTTTTCTTCTGCAGGTTTTTTTGGCATGTATCTTTTTCTGCAATTTTTGTGCTTTTTCATCAGTTCATAAATCAAAACGTTCAGCTCCTTCAGTACATTTCGGCTATGATTTTTGGTATTTAAGCTATTTATACTTTTTTAAAAACTTTTCACTTTTTTGGCCAATTTTTTCCCACTGAAACGGAATAAAACTGTTTTCAACCTTCTTAAAATCCTTCAAAATGTTTCTAAATCTTTACGGAACCTTACACCTTTTGTTCTGGTTCTGATTTCTAACTTCCATATGCTGGTTTTAGCTTCTGTTTTGCTAATTTTAGCTTTTTTTCTGCTATTTCAGCCATAATTCTGCTTCTTTCTGCTTTTCTATTTTCTGCTTTTTTGTGCTTCTTTCTCATTCTGCTAATTTGACCTATTTATGCTTTCTGCTATATTCAGYTATGTGCTGCAATTTTAGAAAATGTTAAGCTGTTATTAGCTAAATTTACATTTTGGTAGCTATTTCAGCTTTCTGTTTAGTTCAGCAAACGTGCTCCTTATGCTAATTTAAGATTTTCTAGATACATTTCATCAGTTTTAGTACACATTTTTGGCTGTTTTAGCTATTTTACAACAAATTATCGCTTTTTGTACATTTATTCTTTTTTTCTCCTACTAATATGACATTTTTACAACACTTTCACCATCTGGGTGCAAATTCCAACTAGTGTCTGCTAACTTTAGCTTCTTTTATTCCATTTTTTTTTCTATTTCAGCTATTATTCTGCTCATTTTTGCTATTCTTCTGCTAGTTTCAACATTTTTGTGCTTCTTTATGCTAWTTTGAGCAGTTTACGCTTCGTACAGTTGCTTTCTGCTATACTCAGCTATTTGCTGCAATTTTAGCTACTGTTAAGCTTTTATTTGATTTGATTTATTTATTTAACAGGAAAAGATTACTAAAAATCAAGCCTGACTCAGCATAATTGCTGTTTTACAGCAGGTTCCTGTTCTGCAGCACATAAAACACTCAGAATTACAGCATCACAATCACATCATTATACACCATAGACACAAAGACAAACAAGCATACCAAATTTCAGGAAGGTAGCATTTGCAAAATAGGACGTCTAAATATGAGCAAAACAAAAAGTGTCCAGCAGATGGCAGACAAGATCCTTCTTATTCTTATTCTTATTATTAGCTAAAGTTAGATTTTTAGACTGCATCTGTCTTTGACAGTTTGGCTTTAAAACATTTTCAGCTCCCATTTCAGCAGCTTTCAGCTGCAGTTTTCAGCAATTAGCATTCACGCTAGCATTTTCACAGGAAAACAAAAACAAATAAGCAATGCCCAAAGTGTCCACCATTCATCGTTTATTTAGTTTTACCTTCCAGCCCTGCTTGCTGTCCTTGCTCCGTGCACGCTGCAGATCTATATGTGCTTTTTGTTCTCACCTGCTTTCCCATCATGCCACATGGAACATGCCATCCTGTGGTCCACAGCAGCTCTTCGGGCCATGATTGATCAATAGCACAACTCTAATGACAACTAATCATTGCTCCCACTTTTGGCCATCACTCTGTGGTTTTTTAAAAAAAGGCCACACATGCAACTCTGCAAACACACAGTCCAAACTGACGGCTTTGATTAATGGGTATCTGCTTTTCTTTTTAACACTTTGTCCACAACGACTATAATATAAATATAAACTCAATGAAAGTGCTTTCATGTCGGTGTGGATTTGAATCAAAATGTYCTGTTTGATCAGGTCCTGCTAATATTCATTGTACATCAAGTCTTAWTTGAAAATTAGCTGATAGTGGGAAGTGTGAACCTTTTTTTTAATTTTAATATGCTCAATTTGTTGCAGACTTTATGATGCTGATTMATTTATTTGAGGCCCATTACTTATGGATGGAGAGGTTCTGCTGAGCAGGAGGGTTTTCAGTYGTGTCACACATGCACGGCCCATGTGACTGAATCAGCAACGTTCCACCATCACCTCMCAAACTCCAAGTCCAGCATGCACGATCCAGTAGGCTTTTTTGTGATTTTTTTTTATTTTCAAACGTCCAGAGAAGACAGAAAAGTTGTTGACTTTTCCAACAAACTGTGCTTTATGATTATTGTCATAATTACAGTCAAACCACAGTCCTGTGCTGCTGAAAACCACAGAATTCCTTTACAATTACTGTAAGAAGTTAAATCATTGTCTTTTTAAGTGACACTTTTTCACCAGCTCCGTTTTCCTGAGAAAATCCTTTTTTTTAAAACTTTAGCAATGCTTAAAGAAAGTCTTTAGGCTTTGCTAAAAAAAAAAGAATCCATATTTTAGGCTTGAAAAAAAAGCCTTAAAGGTTAAGTGATCTCATGGCTCCCTGATCACGCTCAAAGACCATTTGTACATCACACGTTTCACTGTGCAAAGGGCACTCGTTTATTCAACTCCCTTATCTTCACGTGGATGGTGATGCATATTGAAGCTCGCAGAGCGCTTCTAAAATTAAACCTCTCGGTAAAACACAGTGAGATGCATTACAACACATCTTTTAGATGAATTAACAGACTTTTTTTTTCTCTGCTGACACCCAGTCTCTTAAAGGTCAGGGCTGTTGGAAGTTCATCGGAATTCTTAAAAGCAAATTTGGCTGCAGAAACAACTTCTTGAACATCTTATTTTTCCTCCAATAAAACAGGTTTTTAGTCTTTATATTAATTAATATTTTCACAAAACAATATTTGCAGTTTGTTGTTCTGTTCACCTGGACTCAACTTCAGTTCAGTCTAAAAACGAAAGAGTTATTTTTWAACACGTTTAAGTATATTTCAGGAAGTTTTGAGAACCAGTTGTATGTGTTTTATTGTGAATAGATGTATTTTGGTCATGTAGATATATGAACCCTATTTTAAGGAAGAATTTTATGCTCTATTTTTATTAAGTTTGTTTTGTTGCCAGTTTTGGCCAGGCCACTTTTGTAAATGTGCTTTTTAATCTCACTGAGTTTAATTAAAGGAATTATTTATAAGTTAAATAAAAACATGAGAAAGGAATAATGGAGATCAATGGGATGTTGATAAAGCATTTCACATGGCACAGCTTTTTCCCACATTTACTGAAATGTATTTAAGTAGTGCTGCTTTTCTGGAAGTAATCATAATCCCCACTTAAGTCTCTTTTAAGAAAGAAGCCAGGAAACAGGAAGGTACAGATCTGAAAACACACCAGTGCAGGGGTGTCCAAACATTTAGTCACATGGGCCAAAATCATAAAGTCAGAAGGACTTGAGGGCCATTTTTTCCCTTTACCTGCTCAACAATAAACTAAGCTTTAAATACTTTAATTGAACAAATAAAGTAATCAGATTTATTGCTCGGTCATCCGGGAGGGACTCAGAGTAGAGCCGCTGCTCCTCCACGTCGAGAGGAGCCAGTTGAGGTGGCT